ATACCAACAAATGCATTATTGTATACAGCCTTACACAAAGTTATAGTATTGCACACATTTTAATATTTTAGAAATTCAACATGAAAAAAAATGTTAAAAAGTCTTTAAAACCAGTGAACCTTGAAATTTGGTAACATTGGGAACAATATTAAGTCAGGTCCCTAAGAATTCATTTGCATATTATATTGTACAGATGTAAAAAAAAAAATCAGTTAGACTGACTGATTGTTGCTTGCTTAATGTCCAGTGTCAAATATTTCATGAATATTTAGGAAGAAAACCAATCAGTTTGAACACAGGTTGTTGCTTAATTAATGTCTAGTGACAAATACTTCATGCATCATACAGGAAGAAGACAGATCAGTCTGACAATCTGGTTGTTGCTTGCTTTTTTTTCTAGTGGTAAATATTTCATGCATTTTCAGGAAGAAAATAAATTAGTTTGACTGACAGATTTATGCTTGATTCAACTCTAGTGGCAAATATTTCATGCATATTCAGTAAGAAAAAAAATCACTTTCTAACAACTGAACATGATTGACTGTGTAGATTTATATTGGATGGCAAGTAAATATTTGCTATTTTGGAAAGAATAAAGAAATCCAAAGCATAAAAGGTTTCTGGTTGTTCTAAACTAGTGAAGAAAAGGAAAAATTAATCACTCCATCCATTATTTTCTTCTTTTACTAGATTGATTGGTGTTAAGGCCACTTTCAGCACTTTTGTGCTATTTCATGGAAGTCAGTTTTTATTAGTGGAGGAAGCCGGAGTGCCTAGAGAGAGCCCCTGACCTTCAGTAGGAAAACTAACAATCCTTATGAATTAAGATTGGAGTCAAGCGCACCTGTCACATGCAGGATTCAAACTCACAACCTCAGTGTTGACAGGCTAGTGATACAGTAGTTCAACCACTTAGACCACTCTGCCATCTTTAAGGCCCTTCTTTTACCAGAGATAAGACCATTATTTCTTTACTATTATCAGATTTTCATGGCAGTTTAGCTTCAGAAACTACTGAAGCTTTCGAAATTTAAATTTTCTCAGAAGATATTCATTCTTATAATGGTTCAATACTTTATTTTATATATAATTTCAATGATTTATTAGGAAAAACCAAACTTATTTTTCTGAGTAAATTTCTACTGTACAAATTTCTAAACTAAATACTAAGACGAATGATGAAAAGAAAGAAGAAAAACACACTGATGATAGAAAAGTTATAAAACCTACATTATAGAAAGAAAAAGAAAAATAACATACCAATGGAAGTTCTTCTACTAGTTTCGTAAAATTTTTGTTAAAATCCATAATTCAAAACAATTGTTCATATTACTAAACACAATCTATCACACAAATCAACACCATGACAAATTACCACACTCCTTCCCCTTGGACATTGTCACTGTACTTCATTTTTTTCTAAAAAGTCGATCAGTGATCTTAAATAAGTTTATACAGTTGTTTTATACCAGGTAATTAAAAAAATATCCTTGATGGAAGTTATGATTTTCAAACATTAAGCACATGAAATGCACTTTCTATTCTAAATCTTGATAATTTTCCAAATGGATCAAAACTGGCACAGTAAGATTATACTTTTTGTATTTACATACAAATCACAAACTCCCTAAAGATTAACTTGAATCTTCCACAGATGAAATTGAAAGCTTTTTATTTATACATCCAATAACCTGAACTATTTTTCACAGTATCTGTAATTTACATATCTTCTTTAATATAAACACAGCTCAAAGAAATCTACTATGCTTTTCCATATGTTAATACTGTAAAATTTAAATGATTGCAAATGTTTCAATCATTTCATCTTTAATAAAATAAATAACAGAAAACTATGCCTTCAAATATTCCACCAGCTTAGAAAATACCACAAATTTATGTTCTATTCTCGAGCTAAATCAGTTGAAATTCAAGCAGTAATACTTTTTTTAGCAAGCACAACAGTGTATAAAGTTCTTATTCTAACATAGAATTATGAAGTGCAACATATTATTATATATATTATAAATATAATAAGCCACACAATAAACTTGTATTTGAATAATATATCTTTTTAAGTTCAATCCTTTATTTGGTTTTGTTAGAAATTATTGAAAGCAGCAACCAATAGTTCTGAAGTATAATGGTAAATTAAAATATTCCTAACTTTTTAATATTTTCCTATTTAATAATCACAATATAAAGCAACAATTCAACCTCCCAACTTTAACAAACTTCAATCTTTATCCAACTAATTGGCACTTTCTTTTCCAAACACAATGGATTTATTCTGTTTTCCATTTAAATAATGAACACTAGCAATTTTCACACAATAAACTTTGAGCTGTGAAATACATTACCTTTTCTGTGAGTTCTAGTTCAAAGTTTACCCTCAATTGTTTCTGGGACTGTAGAAACATAGTACAATGCATAACACTTGGGTATTGCTCTTATAGATCAATCATTACTTTTCATTTCAAACAAATACTATTGGCAATTCTGACGTTAAAAAGAATAATAATATGGTACCAATGAACTTCTTATTCAAACTAACTACATAAAAACAGATCAATTCTCACCGATGTTTGGACAATATATAAAAAATTCAAAACTTTTTTCACTTACTTTTCCGCCATCCATTAGTACCAGATAAGAATTTATCTGATATTTTCTCACTTTCTAATGCCTACTTTAGGTCTCAAATGGCAGACTGTATATAAACTAGGGAAATTATAAAGCATTTTATCACCTTCTTACTAATTCTAAGTGACCTATTATTCTCATGCCTAATAACATTTTTGATATCATTTGACAAGCCAAAAATTTACTGGGGTACTTTCAAGAGTAATAGAAATACCTAATTTTTATCTATAATGTAAATAAAATAATGTTCTTTTATATCAAAACAAGATTATGTATTTATACATACATAGATATAAGAAGATGTGGTATGAGTGCCAATGAGACAACTCTCCATCCAAGTCAAAATTTATAAAAGTAAACCATTATAGGTCACAGTACGGTCTTCAACACGGAGCCTTGCATTTTGCATACAACTTTGGCTCGTTGAACTGTAACTGAAAATCAAAAAATAATGCATAAATCTCCTTTATTCTCTGAAATATTACTGATTGCATTCTTCCAAATTAGGTAAAAATTTGTATACATGTAGAAAGCACATAAAATTAGTTAAATCTTTCAAATCTACAATTTCAAATCAATAGATTTTTCTTAAAAAAATAAATATGTTGTTGATACATAAATTTCTGTTTCAATGATGTAATACAGTATACATTATTCAAAATGGTTTCTAGGTGAAATAGTACCACAAAATATCGAAATAAGTGCAACCTCATTGCAATGTATGCCTTAAAACATTGACTTTTTATGTTTTTCACTACCAACTAGGTAACAGAATGGTTGATAGACCAAAAACGAAGTTGTTGACCATATGATTATCCTTAAACTAAAACATTTTACAGATATTATATTCTAAATGGATTAAAACACGAGTAAGAAGTACAAAAAAACTTTTCCTTTAACTGAAACATTTTTACGGATACTGATTATTCTAAATGGACTTAAATCAATAAGCAAAAACATTGTACAATCTAAGTCCAAAAACATAATATCAAACTGACATTGAAGGATAAACTTTACAGTACATGTATGTAAACATGCATTATCATTATCATGCAGCATTGTTATTTTTTAATCGTGCATAGTTTGCATACAATATACATGTAAATGCACGTTATCGATGCTACAGAATGTATATATTAACATGCACCTGTCACATTCATGTCTGTACAAAATGTACTTTAATGCAAACTTTCTACTTGACAACATCAAAAGCATTGCAAGGTCATGTAATTATTTATCTGTGTCTTTTATATCAAGGGTAACTGTAATCACAATATAAAGCATAAACTTATTTGGTGTGGTTTATACATGTATAACCACACTGATTTGGTGTGGTTATATAGTTCTGATTCTATGAATATCACCTCAAATTGAAATCTTCCATCCCCATTACCAGTATTGTTACCTGAAGAAAACATTTCCAGACGTTTTCTCAATGTCTATTTTAAATTATTGACGTTTTTTGCTATTTAAATAAAACAGGGAAAAGATTTGTTCAAATTCATGGTGTTGCTACTGTATCTGTTCACTTTTTTGGAAGTAGTTTAACAAATAAACATATAAACATAATTCAAGTCACTTATTGTGGACTCTATAAGTGTTGTCTGTCAAAATATATACCTTCCTGGGATATGACCACCCAATAATAAAATGTCATTGGGCTCTTAGAGCCATGGAATTATTTTAAAATATATTTCCCAATTTCATACATTGACTACTTAATCCTTAGAAGTTATTGTAACTAATTAATTTCTAAGATTCTAGCATTTTTGTGCTTTATATTATGAATACAGTAAATATCTCAATCCGAAGTAACATTAAAGGTAAGTTTATACATGTATAAAGAATATCAAGTGATTGAACATCTTAATTCCAGTCCTGATATTCCCTGTGACCCAAGGACTACAGAATACTATTGAAGGTCAGTGTTCTCACTAAGATGAATCCATGAGTCCTGGACTCAAGAAAATCTCTCTGGACTCACAATTTTCTGAGCTATTTACTACAAAGATATATCAAGAATGCACAATGTTGAGTCCAGATATTATTTTATAATGAAAGTTAAATAAATCTTAATTTGAAGTAGCAATGACATTGTTATCTTTTCTCATTGTTGGACTCTCCACAGGGCATGGTAAAAAATGGTCAGTTCCTGGGCTCCCCTCCATAAATCCTTAGTGAGAACACTGGAAGGGTTTGTATAAAATATTATGCAGAAGTGCATGACAATTTCACTATGAAAAAACAACATCAAAGAATATCCTCATCCATTTAGTTAGTCTAAATTCTGTCAGCAGTGTAAACATGCTCTATTAATACAAGTATTGCATGCAGTTTATATCGGGTACTGTTTTTCTTACCTGGCGGTCCTTCACACAAACTATATGGACTTGCTAAGAAGAAATACATATCTATAAAACATATGAAGTATGGCACAAAATATATACACTGAATTATAGTACATTACTACTCAGATCTTTACAATGTACTGTCATCAAATGCTCATTCTGTATTAAATGTAGAAAAGAACATACATTTTGATAATTGGTGACTGTACCCTTTATAAATCTTTTCTTTTGGATTTGTAAACTGTAGCTGGAACACTTTCTGCTATCTTTGTATGTATTTTGTACAATGTCAAATCACTTTTCATCACAATCATTTAGCATGTTTAGAGGTGTAAAATAAGTTTTATTCTTGTGCTAACATTTCAATAGCTATTACTGTGGCCTTTTTCAGCTGCAGTATAAAAACAATATTGTCAGAAAAACATCAACTTTTTTGTAATTGAAACAAAACAGTTGAAAAGCTCTAAAAGCATTGCCCTTCCCCAATTTCTAAGCGTCATACAAAATAGTTGAGCAAAATTTTTAATCAGTTCAACTAATGCATTTTTAGCTGTGAATATTTAAGTAAGATAATATCCATTTAAGTGAATATTTCAAATTACATACATAAGGTTAAATAATTATTTAAAATTAGACAAAGTGATGCCGCCAGCAAAGTGAAAACTTCCAAGCATTCAAATTGTAGAAGGAGTTATCTGGAAACACTTTGTACCTCTTATGCAAGTAAATAGTCTAAAAATTCATAAGGGTTCTGCAGAACCAAGTGTCTCGCCTACTTTTGCTGTTGTCTATGTTTTCAGTGTGATAGGGGAATGCACATAATAGATTTACAGTTAATGAAATAAAACGTTTGAAATGTATGAAAAAAGTTACGCTAGTAAAAAATGAATACAGTATGCAATCAAATCTACAGATTTAGCAAAGAGTTGAAACATAAATTCATTGAATGAACAAATGATAAAGAAGATAATTTTTACATTTTCCTCTAGATATTATCTTAAGCTTCTGTACAACTTTGGTAGAAATCCAGGATGTTTATGAATCTAATAAATGTTTTAATTACTTTAACTGCAGACTGTATGTAATGTTAACTGGAAGAAAAACTAAGTCCATTTATAAGTAATATACAGAAAAACAGGAAATAAATTTTCACAAAATTTCCTTCTAGATACTAGCTTTTGATCATAAACAAGCCTCTATCCAAGTTTGGTACAAATCCAGGAAAGTTTAAGAAAGTTATTAAAATTTTTAAAACTTTAACCACAGAGTGAATGTAATATTAACTGGCAGAAAAACTAAGTCCATTTATAAGTAAAATACGGAAAAACAGGATTTTTTTTTTACAAAATTTACTTCTGGATACTATCTTATGATCATAAACAAGCTTCTGTCCAAGTTTGGTAGAAATCCAGGATATTTTAAAAAAGTTATTAAAATTTTAAAAACTTTAACCACAGAGTGAATGTAATGTAAACTGCCAGAAAAACTAAGTCCATTTATAAGTAAAATACGGAAAAAACAGGATTTTTTTTTTACAAAATTTACTACTGGATACTATCTTATGATCATAAACAAGCTTCTGTCCAAGTTTGGTACAAATCCAGGATAGTTTAAGAAAGTTATTAAAATTTAAAAAACTTTAACCACAGAGTGAATATTTGTGGATGCTGCTGCCGCCGAAGACGGAATGTAGGATCGCTATGTCTCGCTTTTGCGACAAAAGTCGCAGGCTCAACAAAAATGACAAAGTTCAACTATCTCCCAAAAGAGCAAATATTAATTTCAATAAAAATCAAACCCTGCCCACATGCACACCTTCAAAATATGTAGAAGGCCATAAAAAAGAATAGGTTTGTTTGCCCTAACCCTACCTACCCAGAAAATAACTGCCTTCTCAAAATTTTTTATTGTCTTGATGTGAAATTTTTTTTTTTTTTTTATCAGATAGGCATGAAGACTAAAAAACATTTGACACTTTTATTTCTCTTTGACTTTGCCGAAAAAAGAAAAAAATGCCTACATACCTACCCACTGTCTCTACCTTTGGGTAGGGTTTGGGCAAACCAAAATATTTTTAAGTGTGGCCCAAACAGCCAGCAAAGTGAAAACTTCTTAGCATTCAAACTGTAGGAGGAGTTATCTGGACGGACAGGGGTAAAACAATATGCCCCCCAACTTTCAGTTGCGGGGGCATAAAAAAACTTTATATAATCATTTCAAAATTTAAGTCCATATGGTCATGTTGTTCAGTGATGATTTCCATTTTATCAGGGTGTGAACTGGTTGAAATGTACACAAAATCCATTGGAGGTGTACTGATTGATATTTAAGTATGGGATAGCATGGTTTATTGAATACCAGTAGTTGAAATAAGGTATTGCATTCACATTCAGTAACTGGAAGTACTCTTAAATTGGAAAGGATTAAAGAGAGAAAACTGACATAAATAGACCACATATTTAAAGACAAATAGCTCTTAGATCTTTGTGTGTGTTGTTTTTCTTAACTTATTGTGTTTGTGTTTAGTACTCATCTGATTTTAACAGTTCTTATGACATGCTGTTACACCAGTGAAAAGCTAGGAAAAGGGTTGAGAGCTCACACATATGTTTAACCCTGCCACACTCTTTATCAAGTTAAGTGCCTAACTTCCAAGTCAAGAGTCTTAACTATTATAGTTAAATTTATTGAAATGTTTACTGAGACTTTCCATTAATTATTAATAGCATTTAGTGTCAGCCATGTTTTGATTACAGCTGGGGTCATCAACCACCATTCTAAAAGAGGTTTATAATCATAAAAGGATCATTTCAGCCAATTCAGCTTGGCAGCAAATGCCCCTCAAAAATATTTTCAGTTTTGTCAAATTGGGTTTTTTTTAGGTGACGTATTGTGGCAATTTTTCATTGCAGTTAGAGTTTTATTAGTTACTTTACATTTCTCTCCAGATATTACAAATTGTATCCTGGCAAAGACTAGATGAAATTGTTTCTAAAACTTCAAGCATAAGGGCATTAAAATCCAAATTCATTATAAACCTTAAGGATGTTCATTTCAGATAAGATCAGAGTAAAAAACTAGAGGCTCTCAAGAGCCAGTGTCGCTCACCTGACTCTACTTTGGTTTTAGAAATCATGTAAAGATAGATAAAAATCATAACAGATACCCAAATAATGATTGAGGCCAAATTTGGTTTAATATTGGTCCTGTTATTTAATAAAATATCCTGGTGGCCATCTTGAACAGTAAATCGGCAACAAAGTAGCAACACTTGGTCAGCACCTCATTAGGAACATTCATGCCATGTTTGGTTTCATTCCATTCAGTGGTACTCTAAAAGAAGACATTTGTATGTATTTCCCATAGGGTCCTATGTTAAACTAAGTCCCCCGGCTGGCTGCCATCTTGTATGATGGACCAACTGCAAAGTAACAACACATGGTCAGCACCTCATAAGAAACATTCATGCCATGTTTGGTTTCATTCCATTCACTGGTTCTCTAAAAGAAGACATTTGTATGTATTTCCCATAGGTCCTATGTTAAACTAAGTCCCCTGCTGGCGGCCATCTTGGATGAAGGATCAGCTGTAAAGTAAAAACACTTGGTCAGCACCTCATAAGGAACATTCATGCCATGTTTGGTTTCATTCCGTTCACTAGTTCTCTAAAAGAAGACATTTGTATGTATTTCCCATAGGGTCCTATGTTAAACTAAGTCCCCCGCTGTCGGCCATCTTGGATGATTGATCGACTGCAAAGTAACAACACTTGGTCAGCACCTCATTAGGAACATTCATGCCATGTTTGGTTTCATTCCATTCACTGGTTCTCTAAAAGAAGACATTTGTATGTATTTCCCATAGGGTCCGATGTTAAACTAAGTCCCCCGCTGGTGGCCATCTTGGATGATGGACAGGCTTCAAAGTAACAACACTTGGTCAGCACCTCATAAGGAACATTCATGCCATGTTTTGTTTCATTCCATTCAGTGGTTCTCTAAAAGAAGACATAAATTTGTATGTATTTCCCATAGGGTCCGATGTTAAACTAAGTCCCCTGCTGGCGGCCATCTTGGATGATAGACGGGCTTCAAAGTAACAACACTTGGTCAGCACCTCATAAGGAACATTCATGCCATGTTTTGTTTCATGGACGACGGCCACCAAGTGATGAGAAAAGCTCACTAGGCCCTTTGGGCCAGGTGAGCTAAAAATAACATTAATATTAGGGTACAGATGCTAAAATTTCCTAGGGTGATTACTAATACTAAATTGAATTTCATGCATTAATCTAATTTTAACTCTTTGTTCTCTTTTTAGGAAAAGCAACCTGCATGTTGATTAATAAATAGAATATAAAAAAGGATTTTGAAACTAAATAATCTCAAAATGATTGTGGCCAAAAATTTTTACAGTTGGCCAAACAGTTACAGAGGAGATTTTTCTTAAAGTTAACAAACAGACATGTTTTTAGTATTGGATGGAGAATGGACAACAAGTGATGTATAGAGCTTAAACTGGCCATTTAGCAATTTGGGCCAGGCAAACTACAGTTAAATATAAAAAAAAATCATAAATAATGCAATGCACATAAGAGAATTTGATCTAGCATTATTATCATGTTTAGAATAATAATAAAATGCTTCGCTGGGGCGCAGCTTGATACGACCGCAGAGGTCGAACCCTGAACAGTTGGGGCAAGTATGGACACAACATTCAAGCTTGATACAGCTCTGAATTTGGATTGTTATTAAATATTTGACACAGCATAGGTTTCTGACACAGAAATAATGTGGTCTAAGAACTTGAATTTTTTTAATTTACCTATTATGGTCCAATGTCCAAAATTAGATTCAGCATATCAAAGAACCCCATATATTCAATTTTTGTTAAAATCAAACAAAGTTTAATTTTGGACCCCAACTTGGACAAACTTGAAAACTGGGCCCATAATCAAAAATCTAAACACATGTTTAGATTCAGCATATCAAAGAACCCCAAGAATTTAATTTTTGCTAAAATCAAACAAAGTTTAATTTTGGACC